GGCTGCTTGGAGGAGGCGACCCAGCGGTGCTCCGGCAGCAGCAAGAGGCAGTTTCGCCCGGGCTCCGCTCAGGTGTCCGGCTGGGGCTGTCAGGAGTTGCTACCGCCGGCGCAGCTCCGTGCGGCTCCAGTCCCGCGTTGCCTTGGGAAGGAAAAGGCAAAACCAGGAGCTGCTGAGCCTGAGCCTCCGGTGCCGCTGCTCCCATTGCAAAGCACCACCGCGGCTCTTCCTTTTTGCCTTTCCCTTCCCGAGGCAACGCGGGACTGGAGCCGCGCGGAGCTGCGCCGGCGGTAGCAACTCCTGACTCAGAGGGCCTCCGAGGGGAGGGGAGCCTCCGAGGGGAGGGGAAGGAGGAGAAGAGGGGGGAAGGGGGGGCGATTCCCAAAAAATCTTGTGCTGACCCGGCCCGTCTGTCAAATTTTAAAAGTCAATGCGGCCCCCGAGCCAAAAAGTTTGCCCACCCCTGCCCTATAGTGACCCCTCTTAAACATGATGGCTCTATCAGATTATGTGCGGACTATAAGAGCACATTAAATAAGGCCTTGCACACTAACGCTTATCCTGTGCCTGTAATTCAACATCTCCATTCAATGGAAAAGGGCACCATATTTGCTAAGCTTGACATGGCCCAAGCATATCAACAGCTGCCTGTCACTGAAAAAACTGCTCTGGCCCAAACCACTGTAACACATAGGGGAGCGTTTAAGTGTAAACGTTTGCAGTTTGGGGTATCTGTGGCTCCTGGTATATTCCAATGCCTTATGGAACGATTGCTGCAAGGTATCCCTGGCGTTATACCATACTTTGATAATGTCAGCATTTCGGCACAAAACAAGCAAGACCTCCTGCAACGCCTTAGACAAGTCCTCACTTGCTTCAAGAACTCAGGACTCAAATTAAAAAGAGATAAATGCAAATTTGGTGTTTCCCAAGTGGACTTCCTAGGATACCGCATTGATGCCCAAGGAATTCACCCTACAGACTCTAAAGTTACAGCCATAAAAAAGCACCTGTTCCTACCAACAAAAAGGAGCTGCAGGCCTTTCTAGGTCTCCTAAATTTCTATGCCTCATTTCTTCCGCACAAGGCTTCTATTGCAGAACCACTTCACAGATTATTAGACTGTCAAGCAACAGAAAGAAATTACTCACAAATAGATAAGGAAGCTTTGGCAGCCGTTGCCTCTGTTAAACGATTCCACGAATTCCTCTATGGCCGTCACTTCCATTTAATAATGGTCCACAAACCTCTCCTGGCTGGCGACCAACAAAGTCCCCCTATTTTGTCCCCTAGGATGACCCGCTGGGCATTATTCTTGGCTGCATACTCCTATACCTTGCAATACAGGGCCAGAAAGCACCTAGGACATGCGGACGCATTGAGGCGTTGCCCTTTGCCAGACAAAATTATAGACCCTGCCCCTTCCTCATCTATACTACTAATTGACAATCATGAATTACCTATTACGGCCGCAGATATCACAAAAGCCTCCTCTAATGATATTATTCTCTTACAGGTATTACACTGGGTGATAAGGGGGTGGCCAGAGTAGGCTGTAGATGCCCCATTTATGCCATTGAGAGCAAAGCAGCATGAATTATCCACCCAACAGGGCTGCCTACTGTGGGGAGGTAGAGTAATAGTTCCGAATATCCTCAGACCTAAGATTTTAAACAGCTTGCACGAGGGCCATCCAGGAATAGCCCGTATGAAGGCTTTAGCTCGGAGCTATGTTTGGTGGCCTGGCATAGACTCTGATATTACCACAAGAATTAGGGCATGTCATACATGCCAAATGTCTAGAGCGGCACCTCCAGCAGCTACTTCCGGGGAATGGGAGTCTGCTAAGTCACCATGGGTCAGGGTCCATATTGACCTGGCTGGACCGTTTCAAGGTCGCACCTTCCTTATCATTGTGGACTCATATTCAAAGTGGGTAGAGTTGGTCCTCATGAAGTCTACCACATCAGAGATGATCATCAAAGCGTTAGATTGCCTTTTTGCAACCCATGGTTTTCCCGACATCCTAGTGTCGGATAATGGCCCACAGTTTACTGCAGTGAACTTTGAGTTATTCTTGGTACGCTGGGGCTTAAGGTACGCTCTTGTCACTCCTTATCACCCGGCATCTAATGGTCAACCAGAGAGGGCTGTGAGGGCCGCCAAGGAAGTGCTAGGATGATTAGAGGGTGAGGACTGGCACTCTAAGTTGGCAAAGTACCTGCTAATGCAACACGTTACTCCCAGCACAGTGACCAATCGTTCCCCAGAGGAGTTATTAATGGGCCGAAAGTTAAGGAACCATATGGACAGACTCCACCCCAGTTATGCCCCAAATGTTCCCTTAAATTCTTTTAGTGGCGTTAGAGTTTTCCAAGTGGGGGATTTGGTTTATGCGTGGAATTTTGTAGGTAATCCATTGTGGCTGCCAGGGAAAATAGAGGCAGTTACCAGCCTAAAATCTTATATAATAACTCTGTTGGATGGCCCAGTTTGGCGCCGACATGTAGACCAGATAAGGAGGCATTGGGCTGAGTTATCAGAGGACCCGTCTGACAGCGAGTCAGCTAATACACAACAACACGAACTCGAAGTGGCCGACACACCAAGGAGAGAAGACCTACCTTTAGAAGTTCCTCCATCTGAGTCCGAGTCAGCAGAGGGGAGGGGTCCAGCGATGTTTCCATCATTGTATGTTAGCCTGGCAGGCCATCATTCTCAGATGACCTGGCAAGCTGAGTTGCGTAGGTCCAACCGGAATAGACAACGCCCCGCCTATCTGAATGACTATGAATGCACTTGACTGGTGGGAAGGGGTGTTACGAGCTGAGGAGGAACTGAAGTCCATTCCCATTGGCTGAACAGTCTGACAGCAAGTCATATAAAAGCAAGCTGTCAGACCGCGTCAGTTAATTGCTTGTGCTTGCCACCGACTCGCAACAGTAATGGCTATTGCGGTTACCACGGTTACAGTTATTCTTACGGTTACTTGTACAGCTAATAGTTACTAGTTAATAAATGTTGATTTAGCCAAATTGTGGACGTCATTAGTGCCTTGCAAAACAACCCTCAGGAGAAGACGCAAAACCTCAGAAGGCCTATGACCTCAGACAACATAGGAAGCTTACCTCACCCGCGGTGACACGCTTCAGAGAGGATTGGGAAAGGCAGTATCTCCATCATGCAAATGCATGGAAGGAGCTGGTCAAGATCTGTGACACCCCCAAAAGCAAGTTGCCCCTCAAGAGACTCTTCCTAATGCAGAAGGAGTTACAGGAGCATCTCACACGGTGGAGGGACAGTGAAAGTAAGCTCAAGTACATACAGTCGAACCTGGAAGAACCAGAGCTCCAAGAACACATTCAATGCTTCAAGGAGGCAAACAAAGAACATGAAGACTGCATCTGGAAAGAGAAAAACTCCCTCCAGGCCGTGCTCCTCGATGCGCTACAGGAGAAGCAACTACCAAGGGAGAAGACCACATCCGATAGAGGTCTTCAATCACAAGCAGCTTCTTCCCACCACTCAAAGAAAGCCTCCTCCCTCCATCCCAAATAGGCTAGATCGCAGGCAGGTTCTAGTGTCTCGCACCAATTCTCTGCTGCCAGCTCTCACCATCCTTCCAGATCATTCTCCCATTGTAGCGGCACATCTAAGGCCTCCAAAGCAGCAAGTTATGCCAAACGAGCTGTAAAGCCCAAGTTGAAGCTGCAGCAGCAGAGGCAGATTTACGTATTACAACAGATTTACGTATACAGCAGAAGGCTGAAATGGCCAATCAACAGGCAGAAATGGCCAAAGCTCAGGCCAATCAACAAGCAGAAATGGCCAAACAACAGGCAGAAATGGCCAAAGCTCAGGCCAATCAACAAGCAGCGATAGCCAAAGCTCAGGCCCAAGTGGAATTACTCGAACGACAAAGAGAGACGGCAGCGAAAACAGCACGGGCCACAGCATGGCAGAAGGCGGCCAACACTGCCTCCCTCAACTTTGACCTCGAAGACTTGGGAGAAGAGAGCCCAGATACTCGGGTCAAGGCCTACATGAATGAGCAACACTCGTTTCGAAACGAGCAGATGGAACCACTTCAGTTGCCTAACAGTCTCCCACAACCAGGGAAGCACAGGGATGAATCTCAACCACAGACTCCACATGTCAGTTACAGATCTGACATTGTACAACCTAAAGTATGAGATTCACTTCCCACCAACAGCAAACCTTCCCCAACTGATGTTGTACGTACTAAGGTCCGAGATTCTCTTCCCAGAATCAACAACACTGCTCCAACGTCTCATGCCCTGCTGGCTGAGCAACTTAGCCCACCAGTGCTTACAATGACTTCTCGATGAGTCGACATGCCATCAACGACAACTGCCACACTTAATCCACAAGCAGCAGCATTCCTGCCACAACCTCAACACCAATCCAGCTCCAAGGCACCACAAGGTAACCATGCCCAGCCTACACAGCAGCATGACACTCGACCATCATCCTCAGTATGGGAGAACGACATCCTCTGTAAGTACTGGGAGAAAGACTACAACCCGTTGTTGACTTACAACCTGAACCCACCCTACAAGAATCCAGGGAAAGAACCCTCTATGTCAATACCTCTTCCCAACTCAGCAAATGCTGAAGATTACTGGAGAAACTTGGCTGTACAAAGTGGAAAGCTAAATTTGCACACCAACAGAGTTCGCAAATTCTCTGACAAGCCAGGCGGCGAGTATCTAGTATGGAAGAAACTTTTCCTGTGCCCCATTCAGGCAGCATGCCTGAACCCTGATGAAATAATCGGACACTTGATAGCATAACTAGGGCCACAGTCTGCTGACATACCAAGGGCACTTTATGCATCCCACTTAGACGACCCAGCCACTGCCCTACGGTTATCATGGAAAAGGCTTGACGAACTGTATGGCACTTTCGGGGACGTAGAAGCAACACTCTTGGATAGCCTCAACAGTTTTCCTAAAATTCCTATTGACAAGCCTCACCGGATCATAGACCTCGCTAACATACTTGTCCAGCTGAGAATGGCACAATGGGATCCCAACTTACTGGGACTCACCTGTCTCGATCATGTTGACACGCAGAACAAAATTGTTCGAAAACTTCCGCAGGTGCTATTTGAAAAGTGGCTCCAGTTGTCTGACACCTTCATGGCCAAGGGTCACCACCGCTTTATACCCTTCACACTTCTTAAAGAATTCGTGTCACCAGGTGACAGTCTGCAACACACACCAGGCCCGTGGACTCAGAGCTGTTAGTCCTAATGACAGAAGATACAACAGCAACCATATATCGCCCTCAGGCCCTATGCACATTACCAAAGAAAGACCCTTCATGGTTGTCCATAAAACTGATATCGACTCCTCCACTCACAGTTGGGGAGAGGACTCATCAGATACAACCCAATTTAGATCTCTGAACACAAGGAGAATACAGTTTTGTCCTATGCACCACCCTCGTCACTCGCTGAACAGCTGCACTGGGTTTGCAGCAAAATCACTGACCCAATGAAAAGAGTTGCTAAGGGAGTACCAATATTGCTACAAGTGTTGCAAATCCAAACACTTGTCCAAGTACTGCACAGCCAAGGTGCAATGCGACTTATGCAATAGTGACCAGCACCTGACCGTGTTGCATCCAGACTCTGAGCCGCCACTGCAGAGATCTCGTAGCCTTCCTTCGAACAAGGAGCCTCAACATAACACAGAAGCATGCAGGGCTCCTTGGCAGATTGCCAAACCGCAACCAAAACCAAGGATGAGTGTCAACTGCACAGCACTGTGCACTGACTCACCATGCCCTCGTTCATGTCTTCCCATCTGTTTAGCCAAAGTGTACCCTCAAGGACGCCCTGAAGATGCCGTGAAAATGTACGTGTGGATAGACACTCAAAGCACCTGCACTCTGGCCAGACCCACATTCTTCTACCTCTTTGAGGTGCAACAGGACGAACTTCCCTTCACTGTATCAGCGTGCCATGGACCAAGAAGCACGGCGGGGAGGAGAGCTACTGGACGCTGCATAGAGTCATTGGATGGAAGTTCCCGGTTCCCACTGCCACCAGTGTTTGAATGCAATGGGGTGCCGAACGACCGTAGTCAGCAACACCTGAGGTCATAAGTAGCATGCCTCACCTACAGCATCTGGCTCTTCCCCACTCTAGATCTGTAGGCTGATATCCTACTCTTGCTGGGAAATAATGCCCCATGCGCCTTTCTCTTCTCCGAGTCAGTCAACAGCCCTGTAGATGGCCCAGTGGCCATCAAATCTCCACTAGGATGGGGGATCATAGGAATTGTCAGTGTCAATTGGATGCAGGCTCCAACCCAGGCAAATGCCTTGGCACCATCCATTCCAACAGTCTTCCGATGCCCTTTAGCACCATCGAAAACAAGAATGCCATTCCAGCCTAAAAGGCCGCCGGTGATCAGTACACTTTTGCTAGGACACCCTAAACGGCCGCCAACAACCACTAGACGTCCAATAAGATGCTCTACACGGGCATACCCGCAACACCCTTTCCAACAGCTTCCCGTGCCCTTTGACACCATGGAAGCAAGAGTACCATTCCAATCCTAAAAGGCCACCAGAAGTGACCACCAGACTTTCACCTTTGCCACCAAGAGTATCTGTACACCCTAAAAGGCCACCAGAGGTGACCAGCAGACTCACACCAAGAGGCTGAACTTGAAGATTGAACCTCAAGCTTTGCATGCTTTGCTTTGTTTGATGCTTTATTAATGTTTACTGTTTTTCTTAGTTATATAGCTAACTGTTTGTCTTAGTTATATAGTTATCTGCTATTCATAGTATTACTGTTTACTGCTTATCTTAGTTTATAGTTAATTTTTTTCTATTCTCTTACAATTCCAGGTGGGGAGTGTGCTGTCCCAGCCAGTCTATGGGAATTGGATAGTTACTTAGGAATTATGAGCTGTTCCCTTAAGGGAATGCATCATGGTAAATGTAGTTAAAGGTATCCTGGGAAATGTAGTTCATGTCACGTGACCACATCTGTAATCCTGATTGGTCACTAATTTGACCCTCGATGGGTTGGGGGAGTTTTCCTCACTTCTGCCTGAATTCCCTAACTCCTGGCAGCTGATTTCTATCACTACGAGATGGGTTAGGAGATAACCATCTTTTACCTACAAGGCAGATATACAAAGGATTGGTCATTAAAGAAGAACTTCATCACAAATGTGAGTTATGAGGATACCTGATGAACTAATAAATGTACTTTGTTATGGATGTCTTGTTGAATTTATCTATCTGCACCTGCACAGCTTACAAATCCACCACTTTGCAGAAGACAGAAAAAGAAGTGAAATGTCTTCAAAGAAAAACCAGAAACTCCAGTTGCCTCTTGAAAAAGCACCCTTGGGACAACCATGACCTGGATCACTGAGAATCTCCATAGACATTCTGAAAGAGAATACAATACTTCATGCAGACCATAAGATGGCAATGGTCTGCTACAAAGAAATGCTTTCTAGCAGGACTCAGAAGAGATGCTAAAAGGTTCCAAATTATTATTATTATTATAGATCACAAATATATTCTGCATAAAAGAAGTACCTTCTTATACTTGCCTGATATACAGTATGCACAAAAGATCAAAGTATGAGCATTTACTAAACTTCCACAGAGAAATAAAATCTATTGCATATTGACATAGCACAATAAAACAAAAAGTCCTAGTGCAAAATTCCTTGCTACACTTGTTACCTAATAAATATAAAACAAAATCCTTTTGAAACCGATATTTCCTCTGGTTCCTTTTACTTCACTTCCCTTCACCCTGGAAAAATATAAAACTACAGTATTAGCTCGATACCCGTGCTTCATTACAAAACTATGTGGTCAGGCTTAGTTTTTTTGGGGGGAAATAAGGGGAGGGGATTCTACCTCTGTCATCCATCAGTATTCATCTGGCTAGCGTCCTGTCAGTGTGTGAGTGAGTTGAGTGCTGTTTGGAAACTGAAATAGTATTTGCTGTGTGAACAAGAAGGAGACAGCAAGGAGCCTGGGCGTGGCGTAGCTCAATTGTTCTGTACTAAAGCTGGTTGCTGCTGTGAAACTAAAACTGAAACCGAAACTCCTCTCCTCTGCTTGTGTTTTGCATTTGGAATAGATCTCTTTTCAGGTAGGGAGGGGGAGTAGAACTTCTAAGCATCAGAGTGTATTAATAATAGTAATATACAAAATACTAATGCTCTGGTGGTCATTTTGAAAAATTCTTTCTTAGTGAGTACCCAGAAGCCAAGAGGAACATAGGTGCCAAATTTCAAGTCTGTAGGTTTTACGATTCTGGAGATTTTGTGATGTGTGAGTGGTTATTTTGTGATGATGCGTGAGTGGCTTTTATATATATAGATAAACTGAGACTGCTAGAGCACAATAATCTATGCTAGTTGCAGTCTTGGTTCAGTTTCCATCTGAACTTTGTAATCTAACTTTGTAAATGACCAAGAGCCATATCTTACTCAGGGAATGTTGAGTGGAAGTTCCAGCAGTCAGATTATTCTGCTGGCTGGCAAGGGAGCTACAGTTACATTAGAACAAAACTAATTCTCCATGATCCTACACTATAGGGAAATTTAGCTCTGGCCTCGAGCACAAAATTAGAGAGATAAAACAATTTATCATTTGCAAGAAAGCAGAAGAACTGAGAAGGAGACTGAGAATAGCTCCATGTTGTCCTTCAAAGAAAGCAGTGAAGGTTGTTGACATCATTTAAAATGTTATTACTATCTTCTTAAATTGGAATCTTGGGATCCCAGGGGTGTCTGTTTCCTGACCTGACCTACCAGAGCCAACATGCGCAATGATAGAGAAAAATAAACCTAATGTTTAGTTTTCCCTTGGGTTCATATTGGCCATAATGTTGTAGAATGTACTCCACAAAATGATTGCCATCTTACACGTGATGTTAGATTCAAGGAACCAACTCTGATCGCAGGAGTGAGGGGCCCTTTTCTAAAGAGCAAAGAGACAGCAAAGTTTTGAATCTTTGGTAAGCAGGAAAAGAACTAAGGTGGACAGACCCTCCCTAGTAACTCACAGAGTCTATCTAATAGCTATGCAGATAGTTGTTTTAATCTGGCAAGGTTTCTGTTCGTAGGTAAACACAATAAAGAAGCCACTCAGAAGTCACTCTGTATATGGTTCTTGGTTCCTTGGGCCCAATACCACAACTAAAATAGCATTCATTTTGTGAGAGCACCCAATTACTTCAGATGTGTTGATTCACCACTTAGGACTTCTATAGTTGGAGAGTCCTGGTTTATAAATTATCTGGTTGAAGAGGATGAAGTAGGGTCTGTTGCTTCAACCCTGAACCATCATCTCTTATAATGAAGAGCTCCAGTTAACCTGAGAACAATCTCTGCTAGAAAAACAAAGAATTCAGACGATGATGATATCAATTCAGTCATGTTCCAATTCTTGGCAATTCCATGGGCCAGGTCTCTCCACATCTTCCAATCTTGCACTATATCTTTAAGTTTTTCTATGCTCTGGCTGGTGCCAACTTTGATGATGTCCAGCTACTATTTTCTTTGATGGTCTGGTTTCCTTTTACTGCTAATTCTTCCAAACACAGTTGCTTTTCTCCTGTGAATTCCACCGCATGACATGGCCAAAGTAAGTGAGACTCGCGATATGAAAAAATGATATTATTATAGTGTGTGATTTTTCTTAACAACCAAGTTTGGATTTCATCAAATGTGAAAAGAATATACAATTGAATATATACTGAAGCTACATCTGCTATTTAGTAAAAGCTCACGTTTCGCTTTTTCTAGTTTGCCAATTGAGTTTGTTATTTGTAGCACCAATAATACAATGAACAATTATTTCTGAAGGAAGGAAAAGGGTAAGCAAATGAGGTAGACAATTATCTACCTCCTGAAGCTATAGATGTGGATTGCTGGGGTCAGGCCTTAATTTCTTCAATGTGGAATAATGCCAAGTGAACAGATTTTTCTCCTGAATGGGGAACAATGATTCACTCCCCAGAGTTCAAGCAGATCCTTGCAATTTGTCTGATTTCAACTGCTGTACATTTTTCACAGCCATTGCAGAATTGTATCAGCAATCACACTGGATG